ACATTGCACAAAATTGACTGAAAAAGGTAAACGATTTCAATGGTCAGAGGCTTGTGAAACCTATTTCAAAATCTAAAACTTTGGATTGATAAATGCTCCAGTATTGTCAATATCAAAGTCTGATGGTATATATATCTTAGACGCTGTGTATGCAAGTGGGGTTGGTATCGGCTCTGTATTGCAGCAGATGCAAGATGGTGAAGAAAAAGTTATTTCATATTTTGAGTAAATGTCTTTCGAAAGAAGAAAGACGGTATTGTGTAACCAGAAGAGAGCTTCTTGCCGTGATATGTTCAGTGAAACATTATCACCATTTACTTATTTTGGACGTCATTTTTATAATAAGAAGCGTACCATGGCGCTTTAAGGGTGGTTAACCAATTTTTAAACAGCCAGAACGCCAGTGGCCAACGATGGCTAGAAGACGTTTGTCGATTTATGACTATGAGATAACACATAGAGTCTGTGTCGTAATTCATTCAAATGCTGATGCTTGTCCAGACGACCTTGTAGTCATAGTGGATGCCACTTACTGTGATAAAGCAGACGTCAGATATACAAAGCCAGTATACGAATTAGGTTTTGGATATGAAAATAGGCTAGAAGAGGGATAAGCACAAACATTTAATGTTGAAGTTAATGCTTCGTTAGAACTCAGTTAGAACAAGAGGAAGATCTGCTTAATAGAAGTAGTAGAAAGATTCTGAAAATCTTGGTGATTATTGATTTAGCAAATTAGCAAACCCGGCAAGTCAGCCCCTCTCGAGACGACTCAGGCCCCGGCGACCGATGCTTTTCATCCAAGCTGTTAATGTGATTCTCAAAGATCAAAGAGCAGTTGTTGGCTTCAGAAAGTCAGCTAAGAGTGTAAACATGCAGGACATTGAGACTGTTGCTGATGGATAGTGAAGTATCACAGAATGTGAAAAGTCAAATGGTCTGAGATAGTAAATGAACATCAAAGGAATATTCCTAAATGAAACATTGTATGGGATGGACATAAAGTCTCAGATCCCCCACATGTTTGGAATTAATACTGAATGTTAGTAACACAACCAGTTAGATAAATTCCGAATTTCGGTTGAATGGCAAATCTATTGCAGATTGTCCAAGAATACCAAGAAAAAAAATATAAGACCGAAAATAAATACTATAAATTGTGGTACCAAGATAATGAAAAACCTAAATGGTTCCGAAGTATCTCCAAGATCTGTGGAAGTTTAATATATTATGGAATCGATATGATTCCATTAAAATAGAAAATTGAGTTTGTATTACCATCTTGAAGAATTGATGGAATCTATTAATACCTAGTGTGTTGCCTAGATGTTAGTCAATGAGGTGTAATGGAGCTACACCAGTAGTCCTGAAGGTTACTTAGGGAACGGAAAAAACTAAGCTGAAATAAAGCAGCTTTTCTTTGGTTGAATTATCCAAAGATGTAAAAAAGTTGTGCAAACCTTACATGTGTGCGTCTCAGAAAAGTCCCCAAGAAAAAGCAAAAGCTGCTATGAACCAGGATCTAGTTAGGTGCCTTTAGAAAAGATGTGGTATAAATAACTGGACCTCTAATCTAAAAGCAATGAAGAAATAATATATACTTACATTCGACTACTTTACTAAATGATTGTAGCAATTCCATTGTTAAATCAAAAGGGCCCATACCTAGCCAAACAGCTTTGTTGAAAGTTGTTCTGTATCGGTTATACCTAAGCAACTTCACCCGCATCAACGTATTAATTTTGATGTCACGTATCCTTTTAGGAGATGTGTGAAATTCTGGGTCGGAAGAAGTAGAACTAACCGGTCTTTAAGGCCGCATCCGACGATTGGTTAAAAGAGACCAAAAACGAAAAAGCCTATGTGTCAAAATTTTGACAACAAATCACAGAAGACTGAATTAACATACTTACCGATTATTTCAATGCATATAATTCTTTCTGTACAAGAAATACAGGTTTTACACCATATGAGATGTTTGACGAAGAGATGACAATTACCTATTATCTAGCATTAGAACAACCTTAAAACATAAAAATTATCTGAAACTGACATAGCATTCTCTGCTTACGGAGAAATTAAATTAGTAACATGAGTTGCGCGAACAAACATATTTTATTGGCAAGCATCACAAAAACGTCTTTATCGACCACAGATTAAATCAAAATGCATTTAGTGGTGATTAGATTTGTTGTATAAACACCAAAGTTAAGCCGGTGTAAGTGTCAAAATTCATCAAGTGAGTGTGGTAGGAGCCAATATTGTTCCTCTTACAGGGGTTAACTGCTCAAAACTAAAGTGAGTAATATGAAGTGATAAAAATGAAATTAAATGTTTTTGAAAAGACTGAGTGTATAGTAGGAAAGTACATTTGTTAAAGGGTTACTGTGCTCAAGATGTGTTTGTTGTTTTGGTGATTTTTTTTAAGCACATAAACATGTATGATAGTAAACTGACAATAAATCAACGTTTTCAAGTATAAAGTCTTTAAAGATAAACATTTGTCGCGAATTATAAATTCTGTCATAGTAAATAACTATTGTTGTAAATATTTTCTAAGTTGTTATTAAGATATTATAGTGTATAATTTAATGTGGTAAGTGAATCAACTTAAGTACTTTAGCTTGGTTCACCTTTAAAGTTTTAATTGAACACATGTATTTTTTTTTAATTGTATTGTTGTTAACTTTAACTTTGAGAGAGAAAATGATTGTGACTGTAATGCTCATATGTTAAGTACTTTTGAGGAAATTATTCATTTTGAAAAATAACTTCACTGTTCCTAATATCTAGTTCATGTAGCCTAAAATAGTGTAAATATGTTTCTTTTTCTATTTTTATGACAATTTTAATTACAGTTAAGAAAAGTTAAAATGAATGGCTTAAGTATCTTACTTGAAGTTTTCTTAACTAAAGGTCCTTACTTGATGACATGTGAAGTCTTTAAGCTAATATTTTGAATTTGGTAAAAAATGTAATTGTTTTATTATTGTACTTGTTCTTCTAAGGAAATTTAAAACTAATATAATGTTTTGGGGACCAAAACTTAGATAGTGGGGGGCAATGTAACGATCGCACCTCAATGTAAAACAAATATTTATATTATCCCACCCACTTTCTTTTCCTTAGAAATATTGTTATGTATTTTAAATGTACTATGTATAATATTGTAGTACTATAATACTGTTCATGATGTATATTTGTAATATGTGTTGACATTTCATGTTGTTTTCAGGAAATAATTACTGTGCACCCTAATCTACGCTTTAAAAGTGACGTATTTTTATGCTTGAATTCGCCGCTATATATTTCAGCTAGAGCTGTCATTGATTCAGTGCAAAACATATCAACGATATATCGATATCAAGTAACTAAAATCAACGATACACCGATATATCAATAATATCCTATACTCACTTGTCTGTCATTCACTTTCATACCTGTTTCAATGATTTCAGTCAAAAACATGTTCTGTACAGTGTCTTGTCCACTGCATGATTTTTTCCAGACAATATTTTTTATCACCATTGCTATGAAATAATTCCACTATATAACAAAAGCATAACATTAGATATAAATAATTGTTTCTGCATATATTTTGGGTGAATTGTATAATTTCTAGACATTTAATTTATAAGTCAAAAGTATCGATTTTTTTAAATGTGTATCGATTATTGATCGACAAAAAAATATCAACGATACATCGATATTGTCGATATCGATGACAGCTCTAATTTCAGCAGATAATCGTGTCTTATTCATATATTCTTAAATGGTATTAAAAATTATTGATAAATATCAATAATATAACTGTTATTTTCACAAAATGTACCTTTAAAAACATGCAAAGTGCTTTTATAAGTTCAAAAATCCAGAAAAGAATTTGTGAATTTTGAGTTACTTCCTGGTTTATGTCCGCCATTTACATTTTCCTACTACGTCATCGCTGATGACGTCACATCTGACGAAATTTTCATATAAATACAGCGGCATTGTTATTTTTTTCGGGAATACCATTGACGAGGGTATTTCCGTGTGTCGCTCACCAACGAGAAAATAAATTCAATTGGTAAAATAACTATGGGCACAGAAGAGGTAAAGTTCCCTAAATCAACCAAAAAAAAAAAATGTGGTAATTCCTAAGTGTCTCCATCTCCAGTGTTTCAAAGTGTTTAAGTCTTGTGCTTTACCAATATTAACCATTCTTTTTAAAGTGTAAAGTTCGTTAAATTTACCTTGTTAGTTGGTGAAATTATAACCATTGAACCAACGTGTATTTCTCATAACTAATCTCTATCATGCGTATATTTCAAGTGCTAATTTATTAATGTGTACAATTGTTCAAAGATGTTGATAAACTGTGACGAGGATTGTCGAAGTTGCTAACATTTACCAAACTGGTAAAATTCACCAACTGTAAAAGCTACAAAAGGGTAAATCTTACGGCGTAGTCTAACTATATTTGATACTAGTTTCTTTGCTGGTATGAAACCACTAAATCGGTGAATATAATATTTAAGTGTATTGTTTCTCGGTGATAACATATTAAAAAGTGTGAACTTGCTAAGAAGACTCCTACATTAAAACTTGGAACAAATATCTTAGGAACAATTTGACATTTGTGTTCGAAAAGAATTCGTTGTATTTATTCAGATGAATTAAAAGAATTAGGGTGCACAATATTACTATTTGTCGTAAATACAAATAAACATTTTTTAATAACTATATGATGTAATATTATTAGCTGTTCGTTATTACTGTTTAATGCCTTAAATAAAGTTAATCGTTAAACTTTAAATTGCCTCCGTTATTCCTTGCCAGACAGGCAGTAAATATCAATTTACCAAAAAGCCGGGCCCAGGCGAACTCACGTAGTTTGCCCCCATGTGTTCTTTGTAACTCTTATAAATTATCGCTACCTAAACAGGGGGGTAACGCTACAACACCAAAAAAAATCAATTTTGATTTAATTGCAATAAAATCCGGATACATATGTTTACCTTTTTCACATGGCGATCCTTCCCAGCCAGGTAAGCATCCATCAAGACACGATCCATTAATATGATGACAGTCTGAGTAAACGCTTGCACAATTAACGCTACATGTGGACGAGCAGTTGAATCCATAATAGCCTCTAGGACACTCTGTACAAATAAATAAATAAATCTAAATAAATAAATAAATAAGAAAATGTATAATAATGCATCCATTTGTTTGAGTTAAACGGAATACTAATAAAAATGCTGGAATTGTATGAATAAGAAGTATTATTTTGTCATTTAAAGACAACCTATCTTCTTAATTGTTTTGTTTCAATGATTATTATGGATGAACATGTTTTACAAACAGATGTTGTTAGATTTAATAATCGATAATTTTGACAATAATTTCGGATCTAAATTGCAACAAGTCCTTTTGGTTATTTACAAAAATATACACACAAGCTTGCAATGAAATGTGAGAAAAATCTTTTTTTACTTCTGTGACATTTGTCGTCTGTAAAACCAGGGCTACAGCCTCTCTCGCAGTGTCCGTCTGTTTTCCTGCACGCGTCTCCATGGTTACAGTTGCCGCTGCATTCGAGCGTGCAGTTCTCACCATACGTACCATTGGGACATTCTAAATTTTAACCATAATATGAGTGTTAATTTTGTTTGCCAAACAACTTCACTTTTACATCATGTAAATACATAAAAATGCTACGTATTTATTTCATTCCCAGTTACAGTCACACTATAAGAGGAGATAACCTTTGTAACCGGAAGTAACTTACCACTCTCTATTTGAGAAATCCTAATATTTTTATGAAAAAATAAAAAAATAAATAAAAAAACGTGGAAATGCCGAAATTAGACAAAGGTTTTTATGGGGGAAAGAACGACAACAAAAACAACAAAAAAAAACAAAAAAAAACAATAAACATCAACATTGACACATGTAAGGCCTATAAATGTTTATTTGTACATGTACTGACTGTTTAAGCTATTGAACAGATATTTACAGACACTTAATATATACATTTACATGAATCCATGTATTGTTTATGTACATGTATAATAAACAGTTATCTGTATTGTAGTACTTAATCGGTATGAATCATAAACGAAAGTAATAAATATTTTAAAGTATTTCCGTGATGGATTCACGATTTTATCACTTTATCTATATCGTCGTGCAATCGAATTAATTTTAAAGGTCGTAACTTTAATCAGCAGCTTAGAAACCAACACAATTATCTATAGACTTCATAACACTAAAAGCTCCAAACAATTTTTACGAGACAACATAATTTATTAGACATTCTTATCGTGAATATTATATACTTGTATGCGAATCTTTGCTCAGAATCCGCAGCTGTCTCAGTCAGGTTACATGCGTTATCTTAAAATCTAGCGATTTTAAAAAGAAATTAAATTCTCAAAATCAATTGGAAGATACAGTCAAACCTCTGTAAAAGATCACCTTTGGATAAAGACGACCCTGTAAATAAAGGCCATTATCTTACAACCTTTCGTTGAAAATTTATAATAAATAGAACCGAGAAAGCTTCAAATAAAGACCATTTTCTGTAAAGGTGATGTTTGTTTTTTCAAACGGATGGCCCCTAGTTACAGGTTTGACTATAGTTTAAAAAAAAAAAAAACATAAATCAAATCTTATGTTTCCAAACGATGCACGATAATTATGATTGTCATTGATATACAATTACTTAGCATATATATTACTTTTGCTATAACTACAAAATATTTAACGCTACTCGGTGAAATATAAATTATATACAAACGGTAGATAAAGTTGTATTAATTATATTTTCACATTTCATACCAGTATCACACAAATGCGTATCCAAGGTACCATTTTGACATCCGGATTTACAATATCCGGTTAGTACATCACATGGCTGAAAATCTTTGCAGCGTCCACACTGGAGTGTGCATTGTTCTCCCCAATGAGTTTCGTCACAATCTTTAAGAATATGTTAGCTCTATTTCAGATAAAGCAATACAATATAAAATAGTTATATCTATCAAAAAATTATAGTTCAAGGTATATACATACATGTTTGTATAAAGAACAAAATATGCATGAATATTGAAAATGTATCACCTGAGGTTTTTTCTAGAATTCGCTGAATACCCCGGTACTTATGATGCATTTTTAAAGTCGGGAAATTTATTAATGGAAACTTCAACTTCTCTACAAATTTAAATTAAAGGAGTAAAACTAAAAACACATCAAAATCATGAAAATAGATTTATTTAACACTATGATTCATTATGCGCTGTACATCTGACAAGCGCAATATTAACCATAACAAAGGCCAAAAAAATATTTTGGGATTCAAAGTGACGTCCTCCACTACTGTTTCATTCTGAATGCTAATTTCGTGAATATGTTAGGAATTCCCCAAAAAGCATCCCAAACTCCTCATCGTTTTCTGTTAACACAGTATCAAAACTGCCTACATATAAATGTAACTTTCAATTGTTTTTTATCTATCAAGAATTCACATTTTTAAAAGTTTTACAGTTAAAAACCCGTTCTGTGAAAATTATCCTACAGTATTGATTTAAGGGATACAAGTTTTATGTTATAGCGATTTTGATATAAAATGTAGATTAGAATATACAGGACTCTCATTTAGTGATCATGCAATTTTCAATAATTTTTCATTCTTGACATTCAATTAAAAACAAACCTGCTTTTCAATATCAATATATCTTTAGTCTGAATTCATGACGTCATATCATCATCATCATCTTCAGTAATCGCCTCACTGTTCATAGAGCATAGTCGCGATGAAACTAAAACTATGTACATGCGCAGCAATTGGTTTCCTCTTTACAGTTAAAAATTGTCTATTTACATCTTTTTAAAATCTGGTAAAAACTGGCAATGTGTCTAGTTGGCGGTTGTGTGTTTTGTCAGCGCCAACTTGAACCCCTCCAATGTTGGTTTCTCAACAACTTGTATGGGTAGGCGATTCCAGAGGATGATGGTGGCCGGAAAGAAGCTGTTCTTGTACACAGACTTCTTACAAGTGAGCTGGCTGAGTTGTTGTTGGTTTGCTTTTGATGTTCTTGCATTACGTAGCGGGGGATCTGGTGTGACATCTGCAAGGTCATGCTTGATCTTGTAGAGCATGGTGACTCTTGCCATGTCTCTTCTCTTCTGTAGAGTGGTCCAGTGTAGTGAGTTCACCATCTCTGTGACACTGCTCTGGCGTGAGAAGTCGTTCTTGACAAACCGTGCTGCTCTTCTTTGTACCATCTCTAGTTGGTTGATGTGGCTGTCAGCAGCAGGTGACCATACAGAGGAGGCATACTCAACGCTTGACCGTACGTAGGTGTTGTAGGCTTTGGCATCTGGTGGGCTTGACCGGATGTTTCGGCGCAGGAAAGCTAGGATTGAGTTGGCTTTTTTCGTTATATTGTCGATGTGGCATTTCCTAGATAGGTCTGGTGTGATGGTGACTCCAAGATACTTGGCCTGGTTGGTTACGTTGAGGGTTGCCTGGTGTATTTTGTATGGGAAGATAATGGGGTTCCTCTTGGTGGTAATTCGGATGACCTCACATTTGGCAGCATTGAACACCATTTGCCATTCCTTCTCCCAGACTTGGAGACTGTCTGTCAAGGTCGTCTTGTAGGGCACGAGCATCCTCCTGGCTCTTGATCGTCCTATCGAGGAGACAGTCATCAGCAAACATTCCAGTCCTCGACTTTACCCTAGAGGGTAGGTCGTTGATGAAAGCGAAGAGCAGAGGACCTAAGACGCTGTCCTGGGGCACTCCGGAGGTGACAGGGGATGTGTGGGAGTGTGAGCCTTCCAGGACCACGCGCTGCGTTCTGCCAAAGAGGAATCCTTGGACCCATTTTAATGTGTTGCCTCTGACCCAATAATTGTCTAGTTTCATCAGCAGTCGTGTGTGTGAGACCTTGTCGAATGCTTTGCTGAAATCGAGCAGGATAGCATCTATTTGTTCATTTTTGTCAAGTCCTTTGACAAGGTTGTTCACAGTGGTGAGTTGTGTGATTCACAGGAGCGACGGCGTCGGAAGCCATGCTGGGAGTCAGACAGTATGTTGTTGTTGTTGTCCAAATGAGCCATGATGTTGCTAAAATGATATGTTCCAGGATCTAACAGGAGATTGATGTGAGAGAGATAGGTCTGTAGTTGGATGGTTTAGATCTGTTTCCTTTCTTGAAGATTGGGGAGACATCAGCTGTTTTCCAGTCAGCTGGGAGTGTTCCACTGTCTAGAGAAAGCTGGTAGATTCTGGTCATGCCTGGGGCCAGTTCCTTGGCACAGAGTTTGAGGAGTCTGGTGGGAACTTTAATTGGGCCTGCAGCTTTGCGTGGTTTACTGAAATCGAGCAGTAATGTGGCTCATATCTGAGATATGGCGTTTTGGAAGTTGTCTGAGTCATCTTCCTTAGTGAAGACAGAGGTGAACTGGTCATTAAGTATGTCAGCTTTCTGTTTGCTTCCACTGGAGGTTATCCCGTCTTTCTTCAAGGGTGCTACTCCAAAGTTTTCTTTTTTCCTGGATTTGATATACTGCCAGAAGACTTTGGGGTTTTCATGGTCCTCACTCAGCATTGACGCAACATGGTGGTCATGTGCACGCCTACATGTCAGCTGGGCTTGGCGCTTGATAGTTATGTATCTGTCCCAGTCATGTTGGGTGTTGGATCGCCTTGCACGCTTGAACCAGCGTGTCTTCTTTCGTGTGATACGTCTGATGTCTCTGGTAACCCAGGGTTGGTTGTATCTTTGTGATGTCTGTCTTGCTGGCACCTCCTCTGCAGCTATAAGTGTGCATCCGTGCTTAAAAGTGTCCAGCAATCTTCAATGTGTGTGTTAGTTAGGTTTAGGATGGTGTCAGAGAGTTTACTGCATTTCTTTTTCATATTATCAATGTTAGCCTTACCCCACATGAGTAGAGTGTGTTTAGGTGGTTTGAGGCGGGGGCACTAATGTTCGTGTCGATAAAGACTGCATGGTGGTTGCTGATGCCGGGCATGGGGGAGCATTGGTTGACAAGATCTGGTCGGTTGGAGAAGAACAAGTCAAGGATGTTGTTGCCCCTGGTGTGGAAATCTATCATCTGGGTTAAGCCAAGGTATATATAATAGTATGAATGTTTGTGGCAATGTGTCCCATTAAAACGCAACTAGACCTATCACTGAAGGTGATTAATACCCCCACCAGCAACTTTGACTTAAGTTTTTGAAAAATAAGTTGTCTGAAGAAAAATTGGAACTCAACCTTTATAATGGTGTTTTAACTGTATACAAAGAATTATTTTAATTAATAGTAATTCCAACCAGAATCTTCATATAAACTTGCTATACATCCAGTTTGATTACAATATCTCCTTCCTAACTCATATAAGTATATGATATTATCCAAAAAACATTTTTTCAATTTATAGTAACAGTGACCTTGACCCTAGGAGGTCCAAATGCAATACAAACCAGGGTCTTCATATAAACTTGCTATACACCAAGTTTGATTACAATATTTCATTCCTATCACTAGTTATTGACCGGAAACCATTTTATTATATTTGGTAACGATGACCTTGACAATGACCTCAGGGGCTCCAAATGCAATACCAACTGAGGTCTTCACAATAGCTTGCTTTACACCAAGTTTGATAACAATATCTCATTCCTAACTTTAGTACTTGTCCGGAAACCATTTTTCTATTTTTAGTTACGGTGACCTTGACCTTGACCCAAGGGGCCCAAATGCAATACCAACCGGGTCCATATAAGGTTACTATATACCAAGTTTGATTACAATACCTCATTCCAAACTCTAGTTACATCCGGAAACCATGAAGAGGACCGACCGACTCACCGACCAACCGACCGACCGAACAACCGACAAGCTGATTCCTATATACTCCCATTATGCATCGTTTGTATGGGTATAAGTATCTTAACAACAGTCATATTCATTTGTTTAACGTCTGCGAAATAAATGTGTTGAGACATTGGGCAATTAGATAATTGTAACTTACTATTTATACACTCTAATCCTGGACCGGTCCATCGTCCTTCGCAACCGGAAGTACATACTCCAGTTACTCTGTCTTCAATTGTCTTGCAATGACATTCTGTTAAACAGTTAAACCCGCATTTTCCTACCGAGCATTCTGAAAAAATTTACCATACTAACTATGAAACAATTGCAGCCTCCCACTCCATTTTAGAATTATAATTAAACAGAATAAAATTGATTTGCATTTTTTATTAACACAAAATTATCTACATTTTATAATTCGAAAACTGCCGAGAACAAGTGGATGAATCTGTTCACTTCTAATATTATTATTACTTTTATTTTATTATTATTATTATTATTATTATTATTATTATTATTATTATTATTATTATTATTATTATTATTATTATTATTATCATTATCATTATTAATACTCATATTTTGTAACTTACATTTCATTTAATCAACTAACTAAACAACATAACATAATCGTGATATTGGCTGTGATAGAAAATAATTTTTCCGTGATGTTGCCGTCACGGACATCACGGGATTTAGTACATCTGCACGTAATGCAACATTCATTGTGTTTATTGTGTTTATGTGTACACTATCATTAAACAACTCACGCCTACCCTTATTTGAAAATTTTATGTTATTATAAAATAGCACAACCCATTCTTTACGAATTTACAGGTTAGATATATTTAATAAACTTGAAACTTGAAAAATTCAAGATCCTGTATGTTGTAATTAACGCTGTTACAACACTTAAGTGAAATTTTATACACTGTATTATTATATGCTTCAAACATCGAAGACTATTTAAAATATGTTCTGCAAATATTTTTCCTTATTATATGTAATCATTTAAATATATGCATTCATTTCTTATTGAAAAAATGACTAAGACTTTATAGAAAATAAATTTCTAATTACCTCCCTTTATTAACATGAAAAGTAAATTCGGTAATATCTTTACAAATAATGCTTTTTGGAACTTATAATATTATTAATATTCATTTGAGCATCATATTTATGATAAAATATCATTAAAAAATTGTGTTACAGGATCTTTAATAACTATAATAATTTAATATATAAAAAATTACCTCCGTATATTTCGAGCTCACAGATTACTGTTGCATCCCGATTTTTAGGTCTCTGTAGTTTGACAAATTGTCCTGTCGCGTGCATTGAAACTTCAAGATTTGGTGGATATTTACTAGTATCCGAGTATGCCAACACTGCGTCCGTCTGTTCCGTTGTATTTGAAACATATATTTTATAGTCCTGTATTCGTTCTGAATAAATAGGCATAAAAAGAATGATATACAAGAGTCTCAGTTAGTAAAGCAATTTTCATAACATATAAAATTACTTCATGTCTGCTGGTACCTCAAAACTGTTTGATTCATTATCAGTCTACATGGTCTATGTGCATGTTAAAATTAATTGAATAGAAATACTTTATTATGTTGTTTTTTGTTGTTGTTTTTTTATCAACATATCAAAATAGAATGGTTCTAACTATATCATTTATGATTACAATATGCACATATGCAATATTATACTGGTGTGACTGGACAAAGTTTTAATCTATCGTCGCTTGAAAAACTTTTTGTTCTAAGTGCCAATTTATTGTTTTTTAGAAAAAAGCATGTATTGCATAACTTTTTTATTTATTTCGGATTTTGAAAATTTAAAAACTACTAAACGTGATGCCGAGAGAACATCTCAATATCGTAAAAAATGTGTGGATTTTAATATTTCCTTGCTTAAAAACCTAAAAAAACATTTGGAGATAGAACAGTCCTTGTAATTTATTTTCAAAAATTGTTAAAATCAGAGTGTTCAATGTGACTAAGAACATTATGTCTTTTAAGTTGAATTGATTTATATCATATAAAACAGTATGTTTTATCTTTAAAGGGCTGCCAAAAATGCTCTCGGCTAATTATCCCTTTATTTTATTAGTTTACTTTGACACTACACTATTTCTTAGATAATAAATGAACTATGACATTCGAAATCTTATTAAAATCCTTAAGTCAATTACATTATTAAATGACATTTAAACAAATAATTTAATTAAATAAAGATAAAATACCCACATAAATTTTGTAGGCATTTTATCTTTTTTTTATAACTTTGGCCACATTCAAAGTGATTCAATGTCTGGAAAAAGAAATTTATAGTCGCAAACGGGAATAGAAAACTTTCAAATCTTCTAGAATGCTGGAAAAATCTTTCAAGATTTTTTTATGAAAATTCAATAGATGGTCAAATTCAAATTCCTTCCAAAAGTATGAAATAGTAATAATTATTTTGTTATGCGCTTTACACGTTCTGTTTATGTTGGTAAGAAGTTCTTCTGAAGGTATGTAAAAATGTTTCTATAACTTAAGTAGGCAATGAAAACATATCTGCTAGAAAAGACCTTAAAGGTGGAACAGGCATGACTTATCTTTTGAAAAAGGTCATATTTAAAGATTGTTCGTGTACAAAAACATTACAAACATAATGCTATATAAATAGTCATTTAGAAATTCAAAGTCAAATTACAAGACAAACAAAATATACGTATAAGAATATTTTTCATACTTCTGTCTTTGGTATAAAATGTGTCTACTTTAAAGCAATTTATTAGTATATAACATAACGCATTCGAAAACATATATTATATGTAAACGTATAATATATATAAATTTTCTTAAAGACCTTTTTTTGGCCAGAAATGCTTTTATGTTAATCTCTCAAAAGCCTGATATTTGGAGTTATGTTATAGTTTCCAAAATATTCCATATTGGTTAGTAACCTAAACCATCTTATGCCTTTGTTTCATATTGGCAATGAGTACAGTCAATTTTTTAAACTCATATGTGTCTGTTACAAAGATTGAGAAATAATGTGCCTTTACTTAAAGAAGCTTTAGAACATATAACAAATGTTCTTTTTTACAAATTTGTTTGATGAAATTGTATGATCACAGTTGTTTCTATCCGAAAATACACATCCGAAACCACTGTCAAATCATGATCAGTTTTGCTTGTTGTTTAATCACATGCAGTAAATTTACAAGACTTAATACTAAAATGTCAATGATTGGGGGGAATAAATGAATACATAATATCATTTAATACTTATATTAAATGAAATAAACAACAAACCAAAAATGTTTCGTCCAACATGGCGGGTGTCCTGCTATCACGTGATTTTTTGCTATGTTTTGATACGATAATTTTGGATTTAGAACAGTATTTTGCATATATCCCACAGGTCACGTGACATTTATCGATGATATGATTAGTCCAGTAAGTTAGAACAGTCTATTTATCAAGGCATAGTAAATTTGTGGAGATAGAACAGGATGGTTTCGTTGTAATTTATTTATAAAGCTCTAAAGCACTAATATAACATGCCAAGGAGATAGAACAGTCCATTCCGGACAAAATTGTGTATTTAACTTGTTTCTGGAAAATTTGGAGATAGAACATTACAGTTTTCAAGCGACGCTATTTCCATAACCATAACTATATTTTTCTAAAATTCAAATATTATAAGAAATGACTTATGAGTTAAACTATTTACTTTCCTATTTCAAATAAAATGCATATTTGCATTGAAAAGCTTATATTAACACTGCGAAAAAGACATGGATATACGGAAGTGTACGGAATTCCGTATATCATTAATATACGTGTAAGAATACGGGAAACTTGAAATACGGAGATGTACGGGACCGTATATTATATCAGTCCGTATATGACTAGTATACGAACTCCGTACACTCGTAATATACGGGAATTTTGATGTACGAAGTCCGTATTTTACTAATATACGGAATTATAATGACAAGTCCGTATATTACTAAAATACGAAATTCCGTATTCGTGCAAATACAGATTCTGTTTATAGAAATAGCGAATGATACCGTCAGTGCACAGAACGTGTAAGAGATCCACCTGTAGCATGCAGACGCGAAATTCTAGCTCAATACCGCTGTGTAATAGCGAATACTTTACAATTGCGATTGACGATTAGATAGTACGTTTTTGTATTTTGCATCTCTGGTGAATCATGTTATTTTGTAATTTCTTTTTCATTATCATTATATTAATTTGTAATGATGAGCCAAACATGAGAAAATGATAAATTTGAAATTGTGATGTTCAAAACATGAATTAATTATATTAAAATCGTGAATCTGTGAAGTTGAAATCGTGAAAGTTAAAATAATTGTGAAATCTCGAAGATAAATTCGGGATTGTCCACACATCATTTAAATTTTACGTTAATATATCTCCTACAAAAAAATATGCTATACATAATATAATACATGTACTTGCATATGTAAATAAAAATCAACAATGATATCTCATTCATTCATTCATTCATTCATTCATTTATTCATTCATTCATTCATTCATCTTCATTAATCATTCATTTATTTGTTCATTCATTCATCCATCCATCATTCATTCATTCACTGAATCAATCAACCAATCATTCATTCATTCATTCATTCATTCATTTATTTATTCATTCATTCATTCATTCATTCTTTCTTTCATTCATTCATTCATTCATTCATTCATTCATTCATCCATCCATACATCATTCATTCATTCATTCATTCGTTCACTGAATCAATCAACCATTCATTTATTCATACATTCATTCATCACTCATTTATTCTTAAATTTATTTATTTATTTATTTATTTAATCTTTTATTTCAGGAAACATAAAGATTTGCGTTTTGCATAGAAATCTTATGATTTTCCGAATTCCCCAATTTTGATTCTTTCCGCGCGGTCTCATTTATGACATAATATTGTGTAATAGCCACGTGCTGTATTGCGATAATCGAAGCCAATACTGATTAAGCCGGATATTGATCCGGATATTGATCATAAACGCAGCAGGTTATAACGAGTGTCGGTTTTCTCTGATTACGTAAGTTAGCGCAATTGGTGTTGAATGTCTTAACGATATTTTTTACTGTTTATTTCTAACATAATTCATGTACGAAATAAAGGAATTAAATTGTGATCTCATAATCGAGTCTCTATGTGATTTTGTTCCAGATATTATAAAGACTCGAACCTGACATGTTAAAATGAAACAGACATAGCTGCTGTATTCTTTCTAATATTTTTGCAGCGTCGTGTTGTTGTTGTTGTTGTTGTTATCCTTTTATCTGGCGGAATTCGTCATTTAAACAAGACACAATTAAGATTTATCTTAAAGTAAATTTTGAAGTACCCTGCTGCCAGGTCCAATTATATTTAAGTTAACAAGCTAGAATCAGATGGATGTCACTGGGGTGTATGTACATGTATTGTTGATAGATGATGTCAAATTATTCGAAATAGCATTTCTTGAAAAATATCATCATCATCTCCCGAGTTTTCTCGTCTCCCATCAGCCGTGTTTCTGCATAAACGGTGACTTGAACAGGACAGGGGAACATGGCCGTACTATGTAAATTAACATTTGTAACCTGGTTAAAATAAAATTATGTATCTTTGAAACAGTTTTTGTATGAGTAAATTTCTGTTAAAAAAAATTATCGTAGTTTGTTTAAAAAAAAATCATGTTAAGAACATACAAAATTATATATTGATAGTAAAATTACTTTTTAAATTGGACTTTCGAATTTTTACCGATACTCCAAATATTCATATACTGATAAAGTTTAATTTCAATTATGAAATCGTCAGATAATGTGAATTAATGGATCTTTATATTTCATTTAAGTAAGTAAGTAAATAAGTAAGTAATTTTTTTATTATAATGACATGTGTTAACTTATCTTACAAATCTTATTTTACAACATATCAAATATACCCGGCCCAATGGGCCTATAAATCACCTCCAATAAACATAAAATATTTACATAAAGTCATAAGTGATTATATGAGCCGTGTCATGACAAAACCAACATAATGGGTTTGCGACTAGCATGGATCCAGACCAGCCTGCGCCTCCGCGCAGTCTGATCAGGATCCATGCTGTTCGCTGTCAGTTTCTCTACTTGTAATAGGGTTGGTAAGCGAACAGCATGGATCCTGATCAGACTGCGCGGATGCGCAGGCTGGTCTGGACCCATGCTGGTCGCAAACCCATTATGTTGGTTTTTGTCATGACGCGGCTCATTATAAACAAACTCATTTGTAAAAATCGTAGATATAACGTAATAGAAGTATTGTATATAATCATCGTGTAATAAATAGTTCATAAGATATGTGATTTATTCTATAACTGTATCTATAAATGCTTTGTC